GGAGAGTTCCATGAGCTGCTTCTTCAGTGTCACTCACTCCTGTTTCTTACCTTGGGCTTTCCTTCCTTCTGTTTCTCCTCTGGCTCTCCTGCTCATCCTCAAGGTAATGATTTATTTCTTTTATATTCCTGACTGATTTATTCCCATTTGTCCCTGAGGCCTTTGTACTACTACTCAGGTATGGAGTTGCAGGACCAGGGTAGGGGTTCTGTTGACGTCGCCTACAGGCTGTGTTACCTTGGGCAGGTCATGTGAGATCCTGACCCTGAGGTTTCTTTCTCTTAATCACACCTGCCCATCTATTTCATTGGGCCATGGTGAGGGTCAAATAAAATAAACTCATGAACATTTCCTTTAAAGCATAAAGCATGACATAAATGTATGACATTAGCATTCCTAGCCTCCCCATGTGGCCTTATCCACTCCCTGCTGTGGTGTCCAGCATGGGCTTCAGGCATGGTACCTATTCTGTTACTTGCTTGTTTACCTGTGCACCCCTGAGGGCCTCGGGTCTTATTCTCTTTGAATTTTTTAGAGCTTAACACAGCACTTGTTGGCATGGAGAGGGGCTAGTAAATGTTTGAATGAGTGGGTCAAGAATGCCTGTGTGAAGGAAGTTTGTGGTCATAGTTGTCATCTTTTTTTCTTTTTTTTAAATTGAGCAAAGCCTTCCTGTTACATCTCTATGTTTCTTGATATTAGCTTTGTTAAAAAGTAGGCTTTTGATCCTTTCTTGTGTTTCTTTTTGCAGGTTGCTAAATTCCATTGCCTGTGATTGCCTTCCCTGAGACCTATGCTTACTTTATAAATATTCTTCTGATGAGTCTTTAAAAAAAAAAGACAAATCAAGAAATGATTCTAGATTTTGAATTAAAGATAAAATATCTGATATTTGTTATTTGGTTATTCATTTAACAAATGTGTTAAGTACCTTTCATGTACCAAGCTCCGTTCTTCAGGCTGGGGATGCAACAGTGGACAAAGCAGATGAGATTTCTGCCCTCATGCTGCTTACATTCTAACAGCCAGACAGTGAGGCAGCAAATTAATAAAGGGATGATTTCAACTCGTCTGAAGTGCTGTCAGGGGGAATCATGCGAAGAGGATGCCCAGACCAATAAGGAGTTCTCAACACATGTACATAAACTGAGTGTGCTGTAGATGCTGTGCTTCCGGGTTCACTGTGCACTGGGTTCCCTGGAACGTATCTAGTTGTCTTGTTAGTGAGCACTTAAGCTCAACACCACCAATGCCTTACCCACAAGAAAGATATTGGATGGCTGAGGATAAAGGTGGTTGTTACCTGGACCTTTGGCCTCATGAGGACATCTCAGTTTTTAAGAGGGATCCTTGAACATGATGAGGACCCTCTTTGTTTGGTTTGCTGATATTTGAGTGTCTGAGGGAATGAGGGAGTAAGGGAGGGAAAGATGGGGACTTGTTGATCTCACAGTAGCTTTCTGTGCCAGCTTGCTTCATCAGCACACCCATATCCTCCATGCTAGAGAAATTGTTTGCCAGCTTATGGCATTCTGTATCTGAGGCACATTCACTGCAGAGCCTACCAAGGGAGAGGGCCGGGGAGAGGAGGAAATGTGGAGTGACACATAGGGGCACTTGCAGATTTCTTTGAGGAAGTCATGTGTGATCCAGATTCTGAAGGATGAGACCTGTTGATGAAAAAAAATTGATGCTTTTAAACAATTAAAATTAGTTTTATTCAGAAGTCTTGCTGAGGTTTGCAACCAGGGCAAGTCAAGAGAGTGTCTGTTAGACTGCTCCAAAGTAGTGCTTTAGCCCACAGTTTATATACAGGTGGCGCACTCTGCATGTGCTCAGAAGTTACATTAAATGTGCTCAGAAGTTACATTAAGTGTGCTCGGAAATTACATTACAGCAAAATCTTATCAAGGTTTGGGTGTGAGGGTCCATCTGGTTATAGATTATAGAGGCATAATCATTAATCCTGTCAGATATTATGTGCAGGAAGAGGCAAGGGCCGAGACGAATCTATCTTTTCTGAAAATGCCGTGATTCAGGCAGGAGATGTGGGAACTGGTGCTGTATCCTGCTTATCATCTTCAGGGCATTCTTCTGAAGGGCTGTGCGGAGTCTTTGAGTCAGGGGCTTTGTAAAATTCTGCTGGCAAGTGATTTTGTGGAATTCTGCTGTTATGTAAGCAGGATGAACAGACACAGTGTCTGCATTTGCTACTTTGTCTCATACACTGAACCAGCTGCATGAAGATCTGGGAGTGGGGGTAGCATCCTGCAGGGGCCCCAAGTGGAGAATGTGTTTGGGAAGTTTTGGAAATGGAAAGAATCCACAGTGGCTAGAGGATAGGGAGTGAAGGGGAGAGTGGTGTGCAGTGAAGTTGGTGTTGAGTGGGGGAAATCGGGCAGGGCCTTCCTGGCCATGGTAAAGAGTTCGGATTTTAAGTCCTACTGGAGGCAGATGGAAGGTTTTGAGTAGAGGAGTGATCTGATTTGATTGACTCTATTAAATATTCGTGTTGGTTGCTACAGGGAATGGAAGAAGAGTGGAAGCAGGGAACCCAGGCAATGGGCAGAGGTCGCGGCCTGTGTGAGGGTTCATGGCCACATAGACCAGGCAAGGCCGTGGAGAGCAGAAGCGGTCCAGGGCTGGAACACGTACGTGATAAAGGCAGGCTAATAGAATGGCATACTGGGGATTGGTAGTGAGGAGTGATGCCCAGGCTGTGGCCAGAGCAGCGGGGTGGTTGGGGGTTCCAACTTACTGAGATGGAAGAGCCTGAGGGAAGAACAGGATGTGATGGAGGACTTCCCTTTGGACACGTTTAATTTGAGAGGGCTTTAAGATCCTCACGTGGAGAATCAGCTGGCAGCAGGCCGTGAGATTAGAGCCTACAGTGGGAGATGTCAGGGCTGCAGATGGAAATCAGGAGTCCTCAGCAGAGATAAGATTTGTCTTTTGATTTCCCCAAGGATTTTGAGGGTTAGGCTGTTTCTTGTAGGTTTACAAGGTATAGTCATTATCATTGTATGTGTAGGCTAATTGATGAATTCTCAATTCATTCAAGAAAATATTGAACTAAATATTGTGCTAGATGCATGGGACATAATGATTCATGAGATAGACTGTGGGTTCTGTGAGGGCAGGGAATATGTCTAACGGAGGAGACAGAGCATTCCATCAGAATTAAGTCAGGAATTCAAGCAGAATTCCACCATAATTAAGTAAAATGTGATGTGTTCTGTGACAGGGAAGCATAGAGTGGGGGCTACACAGCAGAGGCGCAGACCTAGTCTTGGGGGTAAGGTGAGGATGTTTCAGCTGACTGCTGAGGGAGAGTGGCAGCCAGCTGAGTGAAGCCGGCTTCAGAAAGAGGGCTCAGTTAGTGGTAGATGGGCTAGCAGTTTGCATTAGAGTTGAAGTGTACTGAACTCTTTCTTGGAACTGGCAGATTCTGCACAAGGCACTCAAGGATTCCTTGGCAAGATTGTGTAGCTCACAGGAATGTTAATATTCGTGTGGGTTGATGATACTAGTTTCCTTGCTACCTGCTTTCACACAGTAAATTTGTTCCTTGCTAGGAATTTTCACAGCTCTGTGCCCAGTTTTATTTTGGTGCAGTAAATATAGTGTGAAATTGGCAGCTCATAAGACTTTATAAACACCTTACATGCATTATTTCAAAGAGCCAGGGCACATTTTTGCATGAAAAGCTCTTATACAATTATCAGAGAAAAACAACTCTTCAGAATCATCTGCGTTATTGCTAACATTATGTAATTTGAACACCATAGTATGTATATTCACATAGACTCAGTGTTAGGACTGCAAAGGCAATTGGTACAACACTGTTACAGACTGAAGAGCAACACATGTTTTTCTTGAGTAATCCTTGCAGAATTTTAAGGAAGCTTTTTGTTGTTTGTTTGTTTTTTGCTTTGTTTTGTTTTTAAGAGACAGGGGTCTCACTCTGTTGCCCAGGCTGAAGTGCAGTGGCTCAACTATAGCTCACTGTAACTTCAAGCTCCTGGGCTCAGGCGATCCCCCTGCCTCAGCTTCCCAAGTAGCTGGGATTATAGGTGTGAGCTACAATGCCTGGCTCCAGGAAGCTGTTTTTACTTTTCCTCAGGTGCTAGTGTATTCTCCCAAAGTGCCAACTCCTTGGTCAGGACTGTAAATGGCACAAACAACCTTGTTTGCTGAGGAAAATGTACAAAGGTATGTTGACAGTGGGTGACTACTTTGACCCCCAGCATTGTGAGGTTTTACCCTGGCTGACCGGGGCCCTTGGAAGAACTGCCTGTGTTGCTACTCAGCCCCAGTGGGAGTTGTCACTGTGCTAAGTTTCCCACACCCCCGCCTGTCTGTCCACAGTCTGTGGTTTAGCAAAACTGCAGTACAACAGGGGCAACTCTAGGAACACGTGGTAGGTCCTACAGTGTCCATACATGAGTGGGGCAGGTCATCTAGAAGCTTGTGGTTGGGGAGCCTGTGCTAGTTCACTTGAGCTGGTTTCTGTTTTCATGCCCAGAGAGGTATGTTGGTGGGGAGGAAGCAGAAATTGGTCCATTTAGGAGCTCCACCAGCAAAGTTGTTTTTCAGAGGTACAAACCTATCCCCTCTTCACAGCCTGTGTCAAAAACTGCCTCCTTCATGAACCTCTACTTCCTCATCCCCTAACAGGAAATCATGTTGTCCCTCCCCAGACCTGCCCCTGCTTACCTCCGACCTTCTAGCTGGTCTGTCGTTGCTGGCACCTGTCAGCTCCGACCTCCCTGAATTGGCCCCACAGTCTCCTGAGCAGGGCTGAGTGATGGGTGGTACCCAAGGTTCAATTAAGAACTCTCTTAGGTGGAGAATAAACAAACAGGAATACTGTTTTGTTCTGTGTTGTCTTATAACGGAATGAAACTAGTTGTACTTGCCTTCTTTTCAGAGAAGGTTGTTTCTAAATTCTGGTAATTGTATAAAGTGAATTGTCGTAAATGGAAACTTTTTCTTTTCAGATAATGTGGATGCAAGTGATCTTAAGCAGTTTTTTGAGACCAACTATTCTCAGATATATTTCATCTTCTATGAAAATTTTATAACACTGGAAAATAGTTTGAAATTAAAAGGTAAGCATTTCTGTGTATTTTTTTTTAAACATGCAGGCATTTCTATAAGTTGTGTGTATCTTGAGCTACAAATTATACATTTTTAAGCCTTTTGTCTTGCCAAGACTTTAGCAAAGCTGTGAGAGCCTGGTGGACAGGGTGGCATCTTTGTTTCTCTTGAGCTTTCACTTATACAGATGTTAATTGAACAACACATGGCTAGCAAAAATAGCAGAAGAAACCCTTACAGAGCATGATTTTCAAAGGAATAAGTTACTTAGAAAGAAAAGTTATGCATGCGTACTGTTTAAAAAATTTGGATTCTGTAAAAGGACCTGAAATGAAAACTCAACTGTCTGTTTTGCCCTGCTTGCAGAGGCAGCACTATGAAAGACTTCCTGCATCTCCTTCCAGGTGTATTATTAGTGTATTATGTTTATATATGTTTGTGACTATATTCTTTGAAAATCAAACCAACAAGATCACATTATACGTTCTGTTCTGTATACATTTATACATCCTGTCACCTAAGCGGCAGGATAGTGTAGCCTAGGGAGCCAGACTGGGTTGGGAACCCGGCCCCACCCTTCTGGCTGTTTCTCTTTGGCATCCTCTTGTCAGCATTAAACAGGTTCACAGGTATCCTAGCATTTTAGGACAGAGTTTGACACATAGTCCATGGTCAGTGAGTAGTAGCTGCCGTCACCGTCTTCCTTCATTTTCGTGTAGTCCGTGGGCTGAATCTGAATCCCTACAGCTCTATGAAGTAGGTGTTACTCATTCATTTAAAAAATAAGCCATATGCATAAATAACTGTGAAAAAAGTTAAAAAGTTAGTTGTTCTGTAAGACATTTAGATAGAATTCTGTGGTTCTTGGGAAGTGAGAGAGATGACTTCCTGCTGAGTGTATAGATGAGGCTTTGGGGAAGAGGCGGCCTTGGGAATGGACCTTGAAGGACAGCAGGATTTCAGGTGGAAGAGAGCGGCACTGCTGGTGGAGGGGAGAACGTGAGTAGAGCTAGGCCTGTTCTTACGACATGTATGGGAAAAGTTTTTTTTTTTTTTTTTTTTCCTCTTGCAGCAAAGGTGTGTGAAAGAGATTTGCAGGAAATTAGATAATGCTTGCAAGGAGCCTTGAATTGCAGGCTAAGGAGTTTGGACTTTGTTCTGGAGGTGGTTAGAGCTCTTGAAAGCGTTTGCTACTATGACAAGTGTCTTGTAAAGTAGCAAGTGAACTAGAAGCAGGAACACTAATTGGAAGGCTGATGCTATCATTCATGTGAGGGATGGTGATGCCTGATCCGGGGAGGCAGTAGTTAAGGGAAAAGAAAAGTGTTGTGTCTCAGTGGATCTACCATCTATGAGACTTGGTTATAAGGGAAAGGGAGAAGTCAAAGATGCTTTCAGGACACTGAGTCTGCTTTGTGAGGTACCGTTAGCAGTAGGAACCCTGGAGGGAAGCCAGATTTGGAAGGCAGGAGGGTGAGAGTGGCTTTGGGCAGTCTGTGTTTGAGGTGCCTGGGGGATACCTTGGTGTAGGTGTTGGCTGGACGGTACAATGTGGGTGACTGGATCTTGGGAGAAAAGAGGTGAAATCATGCTATTGCCAAGGGAAAAAGTATACAGAGAAAGAGAGTGATGGTCAAAACTTTTAGATAATTACTTATTTTATTGGGTATATACAAAGGAAAGTGATGGAGTATTGGGAGGGGTGCCAGGAAAGGGTTTTGTCACAGAGGCCCAGGGGAGAGAGAATTGAAGTCATGTAGGGTCAGCCCGTTGGTGCGTGAGATGCAGCTGGGCTGGGGAGTAAGAACCCCTCAGTGTGCTGGTCAGTGAGTGCTGAGAGAAAGGTTCTAGGTGAGGAGCAGGTCGGAAGCCAAACAGATGAACATAGAGTCACAGGGCGGTGAGCTGGTGAAGGTGACCCATGAGAATATCCTTTCAGAAAGTTGGATGTGAAGACACAGATTGTGTCTCACCCTGGTCATGGACAGGTTATTGAGGAATGCATCGGCCTGTTTGCAGACTGAGGAGTGGGTCAGCTGGAGTGGGGGATAACTGATGGTGCAGGTGTTGGGGGAAGTGGGTTGAGACAGGTCAAGGAAGAAGAAGAGACATGGAGAGGAGTGTACAGGTGGCCTTTCTATGTACGGAGGAGCAGATAAGGGGATAGTGTAGATATGGAGACATTTTGAGATGGAGAGGAAAAATTGAGGGACCCCTTGTCAGATGCCCTGATTGCTCCTATAGAACAGAGGCAGTTGTCAAGCATGGAGCGGAAGGAATTCAGGGTGAGGCACTGCGGTGGTCTTTGATTGTGGCCATTCTTGCAATCTACTGCAAAGAATCATAATGAAGAGCCAATAAAAATAGTGAGATTTTTGAAGTTTTTTTGCTTTTAGTATAATCTGTGTTCGATTGGAGTGCAGGGAAGACAGTGTACCCCAAAAAAGAAAAGAAAATGCCTACCAGGAATAATGAAATAAATAATCTTGTGATAACTTCAGCCTTTGCATTTATTCAGGCAAAAACTCCAGAGTTATTGGCTCTATCTTCAAAATACATCCAGAATCATCGGCCTGTTCTCATTGCCTACACTGGTAACACTAAAACTCCTGATATCCTCACCTGGATTGTAGCATTAGCCGCAGAAATGGTCTCCCACCGCCACACTTGTGCCCTCTCCCATCCCATAGTTTCTTGTCAAAAGAGCAGCTGGAGTCCTTTAAAAATATGAGTCAAATCATGATTCTTGGCTGTTCTAAACTTTCAAATGGGTTCTCATTCCGAGCCATTACAGTGGTCTCAGGGTCCACCTAATCTGCCTTCCTTTGCCTCACCTACTCTCCAGCCTCAGCTGCTCCAACTCTGCCCCTTGTGTGCTCCAGCCTTAAGGGCCTCTGGATGTTTTGTGACTATGCTAGCCATGCTCAGCTACAGGGACTTTGCATTGTTCAGTTCCTCTGCCTGGAACACACCTCCCCTAAATTTCCATATGGCTTTCTTCCAAACCCCCACATTTCCATATGACTTGCTTCCTAACCTCAAAGGATCTTGTCTCAGATGTAACCTTACCAGAGAGATGTTCTCTGACTTCCCCAGTCAAAATTGCATACCATCTTTTTACGCTTCTCTATCTGCCTTCCCTGTTGTTTTTCTCGCTCATTTATAGAATGCCCCCCTCCTGCCAGAATATTAACTTTTTGAGGGTAGGAGTTGTTGTCCGTTTTGCTCACTCCTGTATGCTCAGGGCCTAGAATAATCCCTGGCATATAGACATTCTGTAGTAGTTTTTCAACGAATGAGTAAATGATATCTACTTCATTGAGCTGTGGGGATTCAGTTAGATCAGGGGTCTACAGCTTGTAGCTGCCTGTTTTATAAATAAAGTTTTATTGTACAAGCCGTATCCATTTATGTATTGTCTGTGGCTGATTTTGTACTGTAACAGCAGATTTGAGTGTTTGTAAGAGAGGCCTGCAAAGCCTAAGATATTTGCTGTCTGACCCTTTACAGAAGAGGTTTGTTGATTCCTATATTAAATGACGTATGTCAAGCACTTAGCACGATGCTTGGTACACAGAGAGGACAAAAAATGGTAACCTCTGCTGCAGGTGTTGTAGGTTTTATTACTGTTGTTATTATCAATAGAACAATGTGCAGTTGCCCAAAAAGATATACTACTTTTATAGTTATCTGCTCTATGACTTTTTATGTTACCAACTTAGAAATTTTTCTTTGTGCTGTGCATTCTGCCACAATTTGAGCCAATAAGTAACTAGTTGAGAAATGAATAAATTACCCATCATAGTTTGGTAACAAGTTGGAAAACATGGAAGCTGTGTTCAAACAGCTAGCAAGGGGCAGCTCTGCTGGTTGTGGATCCAAGCAGTCTGGCTCGGTTGTCTGTTTGCAATCCTAATGTGTTCTCCATACTGCCTCTTGCTATTTTTTGAATAAATGAATGTATGTTGAGGCTTACTAGTTTTAAGCTGCCTTTTAGCGTAATTTGTAATGTCCTAAAGTTTAAATGATGTCATGATAACTAATTATTTTTTAATATTCCAGGGAATAATAAGTCACAAAGGGAGGAGCTGGACTCCATCCTCTTCCTTTTTGAAGTAAGTTTTGATGAATTTATTTAACTTTTATAATTCTTGTTGGAAATAAAGTATTTTTGATCTTTAATTTTATTTGAAGACAAAAATGGCTATTGGTGGACATATTTTTTTTCTTTCCTTCCTTCCTCCCACCCTCCCACTTTTACAAACAGTTCTACAAAGAATTTTCTTGTGATTTTCTTGTTTTGCAAATGTGTGAGAGTTTTTCCTGTACAGGTACCTAGATGTGAAATTATTAGATGGAAGAGTACACACATCTTAAATGGTAGCAGATATTGCTGAATTGCCCTCCAAAAGGTCATATAGTCACACTGAGAAACTGCACTGCAAAAAATAAAAAAATAAAAAATACCTAAAAATGTTATATAAACTGATATGTAAGTCTTATGTAAATTTCTTATACTCTAACATTGGAGGTGATTCATCGATACATATAAATATACACATATATACACATATATATAAATCCGACATGCAAAAACTTGTATTTTTCTACTAGCGAGGTTATGATCTTTATGCATCTGTATATCTGTGTGCATTGATCATATCTTCAATGTTGAAACTGTGTTTGGGTGTGGTTTTTGACTTATTAAGCTTAAAGTCTTTCTTGTCCAAATATATTAGTTAAGTGGCCAGATTATGGGTACCTGGAGAACACACTCAGAACTGAATTATAGGTTCTGAAAGTTAATTGTTGGTTTTTGAGAAATTATTTGTGGTTTGAGAGGTGTATGCTTAGGCTGGTGTGAGAAGATGAACTTTTATGGCTATAAAGGAAAGGCCTGATGTGAACAGGTGCAGAGCTGGCTCTAGAGGGAAGCCACTGTAGGAAAGATCTCCTACAGTAGAAGAGTTCTCCAGGGCCTTATTATGAGGGGCTTTCTGGGTTTATGGAAAAAAACAAAATATGGGAAACTTCCAGCCCAGGACTTGTCTTCATGGCTAGTGCTCAATAACCCTGGTTCCCATTTCTCTCCTTTGAGAGCTATATTCCTTTCCAAAGTACACACATTGATTCACTGCATATTCTGTAGTGGTTATTATGTTTCCTTTGGTTACCCTCCTTTGAATGAAACCTGTGTAAGTGAGTTGTTTTTAACAGGAGCTTTAATTGTGTTAGTTAAATATGTATCTACTGACCATCATTTGTTTGTACTATTTTATCAACTTAATTATATTATTTATGTAATGGTTAAAGAATCTATAACATATGTAAGTTAGGAAGCATGGTAATAAAGCACATACTCTTGACACCCTCCCCCTTCTCCATTTTAGGAACTAAAAACTACTTAGGTGCTCTTCCACCATCCTTTCTCACCTCTGTGGCAGTCATTCCCCTGCATTTTATCATCCTCTTTCTTTTGAAAAATGGCTTTACCACATATATTTATACCCTTAAATAATTTCTTGTGTGGTTTTGTTTGGTTTTGAGTGTAATAGAAATGATCTTCTATGGTACATAATCACCTTTGACATGCTTTTTACCCTCAACATTAATTCTAAGATTTATCCATGTTTTTAAATTTAGTTCAAGTTTATTCATTCCTACTGCTGGATTAGGTAAATATATGTGACTTGTTTAATTCCTACATTTTGTCTACAGATGTTTTGTTTTCTTGGTAGACAGATTGTCTGTGAGTAAGGAATGAACATACTTGCCAGTTGGTCTGCTTTCCGCCCTGACTCAGCCTTCCAATACATTGGTAAATGGAAGTGATAAAGGGTCATCTTGTTTTTGATCTAAAGAGAGTTTTGTTAATGTGAAACATTAGGAGTAATATTTTCTGTAACTTTTTGGTAGATTCTCTATCAAATTAAATAAGTTTGTTTCTATTCCTAGTTTGAGATGTATTTTAAAAATCTTAGATGGGTTTTGAGGTTTTTAAATTTTTTTTCTTGAAAAAACTTGATTGAGAGGATGATGATTCTTCTTGAGTATTAATATTGTGAATTATAGTTCTAGATTTTTGGATGGACTAATTACTATTATTATTATTCTTTGAGTCAGGGTATTGCCCAGGCTGGAGTACAGCAGCGTGAACATAGCTTACTGTAGCCTTGACTTCCTGGGCTCAAGTGATTCTCCTGCCTCAGCCTCCCGAGTAGCTGGGACTACATGTGTGCATCACTGTGCCCAGCTAATTTTTTTTCTTATTAATTTGTTGTAGAGATAGGGTCTCCCTATGTTGCCCAGGCTGGTCTCAAACTCCTGGGCTCAAGTGATCTTCCTGCCTTGGCCTCCTAAAGTTGTGGGATTATAGGCATGAGGCACTGCACCCAGCCTGGACTAATATTTTGTTTGCATTCTTGGATCTATGTTCACAGCTGAGGTTGGCCTCAGTTTTTCTTTCTCATGCTCATATTGTTTTTGACTGGTCCTGTCATAATGGTTATAAAACCTATTGTCAAGCATTTCTTCTTTCTCTGTTGTATAACATAGTTTTATAAGATTGAAATGAGCTGTCATTGAAAGTTTGTTTACCTTTCCTATATAACCACTTGAAACTGGGGTGCTTTTTTTACTTATGTGAAGATTTTACCAACTTATTCAATTTCTTTGATAGTTTTAGACTTGTTTTAGTATTATTCAGATTTTTCTTTTTTTTTTCTCGATTCAGGTTTGGTAAGTTATATATTTTTCTAAGAATTTGGAGAATTCTAAGGATTTGTTCTTATCGCCAAAGTTTTAAAATGTATTGGCAAAGAAGCTTCTCTTTGAAAAGTCATAAGCCCTTCAGTTTTATCTCCCTTAGCATGGTCTTTATTGTCTTCAAGAAGTTTTTATATTACATACCTTAGTAGTGGTGGTGGTGGTAGTAGTAGTAGTAGGAGGAGGAGGAGTAGTATTTATGCCACATTTTTACTATCTTCTAGTTGCCATTGTAGCAGCTTTAAACTCTGTTTTTTTGATGTAATTGTTGTTCCTTTAAATGTCTTTTCTTTCTGGCTTCTTTTTTTTTTTTTTTTTTTTGAGATGGAATGTCGTTCTGTCCCCCAGGCTGGAGTGCAGTGGTGCAATCTTGGCTCACTGCAAGCTCCACCTCCCGGGTTCATGCCATTCTTCTGCCTCAGCCTCCCGAGTAGCTGGGACTACAGGCACCCGCCACCACGCCCGGCTAATTTTTTTGTATTTTTAGTAGAGACGGGTTTTCACCGTGTTAGCCAGGATGGTCTCGATCTCCTGACCTCGTGATCTATCCGCCTCAGCCTCCCAAAGTCTTGGGATTACAAGGCATGAGCCACTGCGCCGGGCTGCTTCTTTTAAGATCTTTTGTGTCTGTTGTTCTGTAGTTTAATTACAAAATATCTAGTTGAAGATTTCTTATCTTACTTGGTATATATGTTTCTCATGTCTCTGGATTCATGTTTTATAGTTCTCTAACATTCTTAGCTATTGTCTTCTCAAATATTGGTATGTTTCTGTTCATTCTGGCCATACTTTCTAGGATTCTTATTTAAACTTGTTGATCTATCTTCCCTGTCTCTTAAGCTTGCTTTTATTTTCTCCTCCCCCAATCTGTTTGTGTTGCATTCTGGGAAGTCTCTTCAGTTCTTTCTTCTAGTTCACTGACTCTCTTCTTTTGGAACAAATCTGCTACTTTACCAATCTATTGAGCTGTACATTTCAATGATTTTTTTTTATGTTTTAACAGCTTTTTTGGTTTGGCATTCTTACGTGGCTGGTTGCTTTCGATTGTCTCTTGATCGTTGTTCATTTTCAGACATCTTTTGTTTTCTTAAACATTTACTGCATAATATTTCATATTTTGTATGTGATAATCCTAGTAGCTGAAGTGTTTGTCTAATTATGCTTGTTATTTCAGGTGCCTCTCATTCACAGTGGCTTCTTTTTTGCATATTTTGTGATATTTGATTTTGAGAGTGGTACTGAATGACTACAGATTTCATGTTTGTTAATTCTGGTTTCTCCCAGAAGATTTGTCTTTGCTTTTGCCGGGAGTCTGGGAATGCTCTTGATTGAGGGCACTTTAGCTCCATTTGAGGGTTCTGGTTTATGAATGGAAATTCAGGTTGAGTTCCCTAAACTTACCATGGTTGGGGACTGGGTGCTGGAGGGAACAGCCACCTGTAGATCCTGGCGCTAGTGTTGCCATCAGCTCCTTGGCATTCTGCAGTTTTTTCTTTTGCATGTTGCTCACAGATCAGGTTTTGGCTCACTTGTCTTCTGCTTCCTTTCTTCTTCCCTCTTTACTCCTCCTTCTTCCCCTACCATTTTTTAGTCCCTTTTTAGTTTCTCTGTGTTCTTCAAAGCCCAGCAATGTTTTAAGAATTAGATTTGTTGTTGTGGATCTAAGGGCTAGTTGGCCTGCCGCAGGAAAACCCTTCAGAGATTCTAGATCTATCCCTCTCTCAGAAGTTTCAAAACCACCTCTTCGTGTTCCGAAATTCTAGACTAGGGAGGGTGTTAATACTGATTCATTACCATTTCCAGAGGATTAGTTGCCTATATAATAGAGCAAATATATATTATTCAAGGCTTCATAAAACTTTCGTTTTGCATGGTAAATATGAATGAGTAATACACTTGCATTAGTTTTGTTTATGCTTATGTTCCCTCTGTCTCTGGCTTTACAAGGTAGGTTGTAATTTGTATGTTTCATTCTGGGTACTAAGTAATTTCATTGCTGCTTTGTAGGATAGTGCCTTGTAAAGCTTGTAAAGAGATAGTTTATAAGCGTTTGGAAGTGAATACTTATCACTTTGTAAATAATTGGGAAAGGCTGCCTTGAGAAGAGGTGGAGTTAATAAGATGTGTTAAATCACAAAAGCGATACCATGTAGAGATATTCTATAAATAAGAAATGGCTTGGAAGAAAGCATAGAGGTAAGAGATAAGAAGGCATGAAAGAAGAGTATGTAAAGAGAGCTGCTGTCTGCCTTGTAAGTCAGGGATGCCCTGAAAGGGAACCTTGGAAAAGGAAACAGCAGTTTTTAGATGTAGAGTATTGGAGACATTATAATATTCTGATAAAGTAAGT